TATATATATATATATATATATATAGTGTATATTATAAGTAGGCGATAAGGAAAAACAATGACAATAATGTCTTGGATTTCTTCCTGCAGGTGCTACATAAAGATATCGGCCTTGTGCTTCTGTAGAGTGACTCTCTAGTGAGGAGTGTAAGTCATAATTTCTCTTGTTTTTTCCTTTTATTGTTCTTGTCGAGTTCGTTTTAAGCCAAGTTCAACGCTAGCATAATATACTAGATGCAGCAGCAGGAGCGGATGCAGCGACCAAGAGCAGCAGCAGGAGCACCTGCAAAAGCAGCAACACCTGAAGTAGCAGGAATACTTGCAGCAGCAGGAGAACCTGCAGCAGGAGTACCTGCAGCAGCAGTAACACCTGCAGCAAGAGGAAAACCTGATGCAGAAGGAATACCTGCAGCAGCAGGAACACCTGCAGCAGCAGGAACACCTGCAGCAGCAGGTTAACTTTAAGTCAGCATGAAGATTTTAACAGCAAAAGGATACTAGTTGTCATGGCAATCTTTTTGGTCATAGGGAGAAACTCATCGTATTAAATAATAAAAGGAATAACCAAGACGCATGCAAAGCGACCGTCTGGGGCTTTATTTTGGTACTGCAGCAGATGCAACTGCAACCAACTACAAATTCGCTACTGGCAAATGCCTTTATTTTATTTCCTCTTCTTTAGTATTTCTCCCCTCTATCAATACTGTCAATTTATACATTGTATGCATCTGCACAATACAACTGTTAATGTGTCCTTTTTGCCTACGACCTTACAGCTATTTTGTATAGGAGTTGTTTACTTTTAATTAAATTAATTAAAATTTATTCTTAATAAAAATATATAATAATATTATACATAATTTATAATTATATAAATTAATCAGACAAAGCCTTATTATACAATGCCGATGTTTACTTTTCTTAATAAAAGTCTGAAAAAAATCAAATCCTCACACCAACTCCAAATCACGCATGCATGCATGCGTGCATATGCGTGCATTTGTTCATGCATGCATGCATGCATGAACAAATTATCAATGTATGCATGCATGCGTGCATGCACAAATGTATCAGTGCTTGCATTGATGCGTACAAGCATGCAAGCACAAATGTATGCATTGTTGCATACATGCATGCACAAATGTATGCATGCATGCAATCATAAATTGTATGTATGAATGTACGCATGCATCCATGCATGCATACAAGCACAACTGAATGCATGCATGCATGCATTGTGATAGTGTTTACAAGGAGAGCATGATACCACGTAGTTCTTTTGTGCCCCTTTCTCTATATACAGCAGGTACGAATCCTGCTGCAGCACCAGCAGCATCAAAGTCATGAATATTAATATATTTCCTTCTTGGTATATGTTGATCTTCCCTTATAAGAGGATCTAATGGCTTAGCTCTCTCGTTGCTGCTGCCTGACCCACTTAATCCACTCTTAGCAGCAGCAGCAGAAGCAGATTGAAATAAAGATGAATATTGACGCTCCAATACCTGCATGTACAGTGCAACGAACCCCACACACAAAAAAGCATTACAGCGGCCTCCCGAGTGCTGCACTGCTGCTGGTGCTGCTGCTGCTGCAGCAGAGTAGCTCAACGCCAACAGCTGCTGCTGCTGTAACTGCTGCAGCTTTAATAGCCGTTGTTGTTGCTCAAGCACCTCAAACGCATGACAGCAAGAGTCGCATGAACTGCAGCAGCAAGCACATCAACTGCATCCTGCTGCTGCTGCTGCTGGTGCTGCAGGCAGCAATGAGGTGTACGTACATGGGTATAAGGCTCATCACTAGCGTTGATACTTTTTCCTAAGGGTTTTAATTTAACAATTTCATAGAAATTTCCTTCTTTCTTAACGATTTCTTTAATCTTGCGAACTCGTAGTGCTGCTCTTGCCTCCGCATTCTGCTGCTGCTGCTGCTGCTGCTGCTGCAAATGCTGAGCCTGCGTACGGCCGTGGCCTTCAAGCTCACGGAGACGATTCTCAAGGCGACGCTTCAGCTGCTCATCTGTGCCATACACCAATTCATAAACTGCAGCAGCAGCAACAGCAGCAACAGCAACACAGACAGCAGCAGACATATACGATATATAATAAATATATCGTCACCCTCACATATTGTCTGCATATCAAATATAATCTTTAATTGGCAGCAACAGCAGCAGCAGCAGCAAACACAGCAGCAGCAACAACAACGGCAGAAACAGCAGCAGCAGCAATATTTACTGGCATCTTCTTTTTCTTCTAAATAGTCATTGTACGCGGGGGTATTCTCGAAGTTGTCTCGTAGTGCATTTAACCTGCATCAGGTGTACGTACACCCCAATTATATTTAACTGAATATATATAAAGAAGAAGAAAAGATCATATAAATAGTAACAAAATAGCGACAACAATGATATATAATTATAATGATAAGAATATATACTATTATTATATAATATTACATTATAATAAGTCTTCTTTCTTTCCCCTCAAAATTAGGGTTTAGGGTTTAGGGTTTAGAGTATAGGGTTTGCGTTTTCTTACGCATTATTAACACGTTTTCTTATTTGTTTTTCGAAGGAGAATAAATCGATGTCGGGCTCTGTGAGTATAAAATTTCCTCTTGTAAGAGATCGTTGACAAAGAGGACACACTCCCTTTGTATTATTTGTTATTGGTGCTGTTCCTCCTCCGAATTGTTGCAGCAAACAATTCTCGCATAATTTATGAGGACATACATCACTAAAATATAACTTCTTATCTGAATAATAGCAACAATTTGTGCCGCAAACGGAACACTCGTATTGCTCCATTGTGCTGCTTCTGCTGCTGCTGCTCTTGCTGCTGCTGTTGCTGCGTTTTTTCAGCAGAATACACTCATTTTCGCCGTGTAGGAAAAGTGGAAAGGGCAGAAAGTTAACTATTTCTTCTCATATGGGCGACGTCAGAGAGGGGGGAATTCATAAGAAGGAAATACGCAATAAAAGAGAAGAAAAATAACAACAAGAAAATGGTAAAGAAAAAAGAAAACAAAGGAGGGAAACAAAGAAAAGAAGAAAGGGAATGGCAAGAAACGAACGCCAGCTAGCAGCTCTATAATGCTGCTGCGCTCCCTCCCATCTGCTAATATTATAAATTACATTGCCATTTAAAATTTATCAGTAAAAAACAGTAAAAATTTATTTGTAACAATAGTTTACCTTTGCTTTGCTTTTTTTCCTTTGCATGCATGCATGCATGCATGCAGAAACGACCGCCGGGCCCCACGTGACCATTCGTATTGCCTCGTGTTCTGCAGCAAAAATAAAGGAAATAGCTATTTCATTAGATTAGATGTCTCAATATTACAAAGATACATTTTTTTATTCATATTTACTAATATTCTCCTTTTTGCAGTTGCTTCCGGGTACCCCGCAAGACACCTTTTTTGACTTCTTAGGGATTACGGTTTAGGGTTTAGGGGATTAGGGGTTTAGGGTTTAGTGTTTGAGACTTTTAGGGTTTACCGTTTTAATAAAATCCACTATTCGATTTAAATAATTAAATTAACGTTTGTTTGGTTAGATAAACCTTCCCTCCTTATAGACAGCTAGCCGTCTGCGGTTAAATGAGCCGGCATAGCGTCTACTAGAGAAAAAGCCGTAAAGAAAATGCTGTTGTGCAGCAGTAGAATAAAGGAGGCGGCCAAATGTTGCAGAAGCAAAAGAAATGGCATTTTGCTGCTGTGTTCCTACATTATTATATAACTAGCAGATTTAAATGGGTACTGCAGCAGCACTTAAAGTGTTGCTGCAGCAGCAATTAAAGTGTTGCTGCAGCAGCAATTAAAGTGTTGCTGCAGCAGCAATTAAAGTGTTGCTGCAGCAGCAACTAAAGTGTTACTAAAGCAGAAATTAACGTGTTACTGCAGCAGCAATTTACAATATAGAGGTAACTAGTCAGCAGTATAACCACTGAGACACAGTAACAGCACAAGAATGATGCATCTTCGTGCACCTCTTTGCTGCAGCAGCAACAACAACAACTGCAGCAAATGCTGCTGCTGCTGCTGCTGCATCTCTTTGCCCTATGCTACTGCAGCTTGTAGTTAACAGACAAAGAAAGCAACAAAACGAGGAAGGCTTTAGACCTTCTTAGCTGCTGCTGCTGCTGTTGATGTATAGCCGGGGACCTTGCAGCACTCGCTGCCGCAGCAGCTGCTGCTGCTTACTACTGCTGCCGCAGCAGTAGCAGCAGCAACAGTTTCCATTGATTAGTGCACGAATGATGGCGATACTTCATTCAGTGTTGAGTAAAGAGGCAGCTCTGCTGCTGCTGCTGCTACAGGGCTTTCTTCTTCTGTACAAGGAGGAGTACCTGCAGTGCTGCCTGTTGAGGGAGAGAGCCAAATATCTTCTTCTTGGTGCTTTGTTAAACCAAAAGGAAGAGAGGACACAACAGCAGCTGCTGCTGCATTTGCTGCTGCTGCTGCTGCTGTATCTGCTGCTGTTTCTGCTGGTGTTGCTTCGCTTTCCGCCCAGCTGACACGCTTGGGTGTGCGCGAACCTCCACGCCGAACAGCCGCGCGGGGCATCTTCTGCTGTTCTTGCTTATTCTGCTGTTGCTGTTGCTGCTCTTGCTGCTGCTGCTCTTGCTGCTGCTGTCCTTGTCGCTGTTCTTCTTGTTCTTGAGGTTTTGTTTGCTGCTCTTGAGTCTCAGCAACGCTAGAGAAGCTTGGAGCTGTTGGGCTTAATGGCGATGCTGCTTCTTCTTTTGCGGCATCAGCAGCTCCTGCGATAGCAGCGTCTGCAGCAGCATCAGCAGCAGCAGCGGCAGCAGCGGCAGCGGCAGCAGCAGCCGCAGCAGCGCGGCGAGAACCTGCAGGCCTCATCGTCACCAGCAGTGGATCGGGGGGGCCAGCGAATATACCTGAGGATACTGCTGCAGCATTATAAGAAAACGGCCTTACACGGGGGGCCCTTAGCTGCTGCTGCTGCATTAGCAGTTGGTGCTGCTGTTGCTGCTGCCACAGCTGCTGCTGCTGCGCCTCCAACAGCTCCTGCTGATATTTCAGCAGCAACTGCTGCTGCTGCAGCTGTTGCTGCAGCGCTTCTGTTGACATCAGAAGCCGTTGTGTCCTTGGTTGCTGCTGCCGCTCCTCTTGCAGGCCATTCGGAAGCGGACACGTGTCTTGCTGCTGTTGCGGCTGCTGTTGCGGCTGCTGTTGCGGCTGCTGTTGCGGCTGCTGTTGCGGCTGCTGCAGCGGCTGCTGTTGCGGCTGCTGTTGCGACTGCTGCAACGGCTGCTGCAGCGGTTGGGGCAGCGGCTGGGGCAGCGGCTGGGGCAGCACGTAATAATCGGCTGAGTTGATAGGCACTGATGCTCCTGCTACCTGCTGCTGCTGCTGCTGTAGCTGCACAGGATATACCCAAGGGGGGAAAACAGCAGTAACGTACCCGTCTGCTGCAATAGAAGGCGCCTGAAGCGGCACCTCAGAATGCAGCAGCAGCCCTGGCTGCTGCTGCTGCTGCTGCTGTTCACAAGCAGGCAGGGACACCGGAATGGGAACAGAGTAGGCGTGCTGCTGCTCCATCTGCGGCTGCAGTTGCTGCCTCTCTGCTTGCTCCTGCAGGAGTTGCTGCACTTGCTGCTGCTGCACTTGCTGCTGCTGCACTTGCTGCTGCTGCACTTGCTGCTGCTGCACTTGCTGCTGCTTCGGTTGCTTGTATGCAGAAGGTTGACTGACAAAAGGGGGAGAAGGCAAGGAAGCAGCTGTGCTGACGCTGGGGGTCGGGCTACCACAAACCGTAGGCTGCTGCTGCTGCTGCTGCTGCTGATGGTCTTTGTGTTGCTGCTGCTCCTGTTGTGGCAGTTGTTGCGCCTTTTGCAGCAGGCCTTCTTGTTGCTGTTGCTTCTGTTGCGGTTGCTGTTGCTGCTGGTGTGGCTGTTGCTGCTGCCGTTCATCTAATGAGGCGTTAATCTGCTCCATATATCCGTCCTCTGTCTGTGTACCTGTTGCTGCGTTTGCGTTGCTGCTGCTTCTGGTGCTGGTGCTGCTGCTGCTGGTGTTGTTGCTGTTGCTGTTGCTGCTGCTGTTGTTGCCGCTGCTGAAGCTCCAGTGCTGCTGCAGCTCATCTACTGTACATTCCTCGCTGCTGCGGACAACTGTACTCTTCCCTTCCTCTGGTTGTGCACTAATGGTGGTAATGGTGGTTATTTGTGTTGTTCTTCTCTCTAGCAGTACCACTTCCTCTGCCCCTTTACTCCTGCTTCTGCTGCTGTTGCTGCTGTTGCTGCTGTCGCTGCTGTTGCTGCTGTTGCTCCTGCTGCTGTTGCTGCTCACGCCTGCTGGTGGTGTACCCAGTCCAGGATCCACACGAGCTGAGCTGAAGCCCTCAGGCGTCCCTGGCCAGCTGTCGCTGCTGCTGCTGCTGCGGTTGCTGCTCCACCGATCCTCTGCAACAAATGAAGGGCCTTGAATGGGACAAGTAAAGGGGTGCTCTGTCTTGCTGCTCCTCTGCTCTTTGCTGCAGCTGCTGCCCTGCAGCAAAGGAGAGGCCACACGCCTTCCCGTATTGGTGTGCCGCTGTGTCTGTGTTGCCGCTGCAGCAGCAGCAGCAGCAGCAGCTGCTGCTGCAGTAACTGCTGCTGCTGCATCCTCTTCTTCCCTAAAGAATTCCTCGTCGCATCCAGCAGGGGAAGCCCCTGCTGCAGAAACTGCTGCTGCTGTTGCTGCTGCTGCTGCCGCTGCTGCTGCTGCTGCTGCTGCGACTGCTGTTGTCGGAGTACTGGCCTTGTTGCAGTTGCTGCGGGGCAGCACTCCATTGGCCCCACACCGCTGCTGTGTTCTGCCGCGGACATTGCTACGTTGCTGCTGCTGTTGCTGCTGCTGTTTCTGCCACAGCTGCTCTGGGTGCAGCTGCTGCTGGCCCGTCACTTTATGATTTGTGTGCTTTGCGTTGCTGCCGCACTCCGCAGCAGTAGCCACAGCAGCTGCTGCAGCGGCAGCGGCAGCAGCAGCACCAACATTTGCAGCCGAAGCACACTGTGGTGTATCGGACTTGCGAGGCTTTGCTGTTGATGCTGTTGGTAATAGTCGTCTTAAGAATTGCTCAACAGAATGCGAACGGTTTCTTGGGCGTGCTGATGCAGCATGTGAATTCGCCTCCGGTGTTGCTGCTGCTGCTGCACGTGCTGCTGCTGCTGCTGAAGGCGCTGCTGCTGTTTCTGGATCAGCCACGTGATTGCCACAGGCAGGTCCGATAAACTTCCTGAATAGTTCACCCACACGACGCAAACTAGGGGATCTCCCTCGTGCTCCTCCTATAATATCTGGCTGCTGCTGTTGCTGCTGCTGCTGCTGGTGCTGGTGCTGTTGCTGCTGCTGCTGCTGTTGCTGGTGCTGTTGCTGCTGGTATGCGTTAGACCTGTCGTGCGTTAAGGTGGAGTACAGCTTGGTGCCCCATGGCCGCTTTGCTCCAGCAGTATTATTCGGGTTAGACATTCCCGCGGTAATAAAATAAATATGAAGAAATAGGAGATGCAGTTAAAGGAATTTTTCCTCCTTTATTTTTCCTTATTCTTGCATGCAAAAATGAGTCGTTAGTTGCTGTTAGAAGGGGCGCAAAGGCCTCGTAATGTGTCAGGAGAGATACAATGGAGAAAAACGTCAACTAAAAACTTTTATCTACTATATTTAAACTTAAACAAAATAAAAGTAATGGGTAGCCACTATTGGACCAGTGGCCTGTCAGGAAGCTGATGAGGCAGTGACCCCAGGGGACCCGGAGAAGACACGAAATGTGCAACTGAGGGAAAGAAATCAGCTTAAAAATAAATAATTTTAAGGGAAATAAAAGGAAAAAATTAAACTTTTAATTAATTTAAAGAAGAAATCATTAGACAGCTGGATCCGATGTTGCACTGCGCCGCAGGCTGCTGCAGCGCCTCCCAACATGAGAAATCAGCCACCACCCATAGGAGGTAGACATTCAGTATTTTAGCAAATAAAAATGAAATCATTCAGTTTCTTTGAATTAAATAGTTTTTATTTAAATTGTTTGCTTTCGTTTATCCTCCTGACACACTATTGGAGGGCCACCCATACGCAACAGTGGTCAGTTTACTGGTGCAGAGAGCCGTTGCCACAGAGATCCAGTTGCAGCTTTGGCACAGAGATCCAGTTGCACGTATAATCAATGAAAATGAATTCATATTTTTAACTCTTTTATTTAAATTTTAAATATTAAAATTCCAAAGAATTGCGTGGAAATGCCTGTAGCAATCGCGGTAGATCACTGGCAGCCATGAAGGGAGGTAAGGAAATTGCACTACCCCATTCATTTTAAACCCCTTAATTCAGTTTATAAAAGATAATTTAATTATCCCTTAAAAATCAAATTCAATTTTATTTTTATTTACGTGCAATTCATTTATTTTATTCTTTGTGAACGAAAGAAGGCAGTTTGTACTTCCTCGGCTTCACGGAGACTTGGTTTCCCCTAGAAAGCAATAATTAGATATTAAGAAAAACCCTTCATAAGAAGAGCAAGGAATTCTTCATAATAATCTATAAAAGAAATAAATTAATAAATTAATTTATATGGGAAACTGTATAAAGAGAATAGGAGAGGAGGCAACAGGTCCTACTGGGATTTGAACCCAGGTCGGCGGATTCAGAGTCCGCAGTGCTAACCACTACACCATAGAACCGTTGGTGGTCCAGTGAATAACTTTGTAGATATTTTAATTAATTAAAAAAATAAATAGATAAAAATATCTTTCTTGTAAATTAAAAGAGGAGGGTTTCTTCTTAAGCATTTAAGTTCCTTTTCTTTTGTTTCTTCTCTCTTGCTCCTTTTATCTTACTATATTATATTTACACACGCAAGTGGGTACTACAGCGGAGAAGCGAATATATAATCTTTTCTATTATTTATAATAGAAAAAGGCTGGTTGTATTTCTTTTAATTAAAAAACAAAAATATATATTTTAAATTAGTCTAATTAGAAGTTTCTCTATTAGAGGGAAACTGTATAAAAAGACCTAAAACTGCAAGAAACAGGCTATAAACAGTTGTCTATTTACCCTTCTTCTCTTTAATTAGTATCTAAAATGCATGCAACAATGAAACAAGTATTATTGTTTCATAACTTCAATTATAATTAACCTTTTTAAGGTCCTACTGGGATTTGAACCCAGGTCGGCGGATTCAGAGTCCGCAGTGCTAACCACTT